GAATGACAGATTAAGGCAAGCTTGGGAATTTAAGAACCATCTGGAAATAATCTGCTCTAGGCAGAAGAGCTAGACTGCAGCAAAGGCTCTGAATGTGGAATCAAGAAATTGAGGAGGTGTCTCAAAGAGTGCTTCATTACAGCTGCAAGATGGGTCAAGCTTAGTATCTGGTGTGTGCAACAGTCTCAAAAGAGAACTTAAGAACCAGGATGATGGCTTAGAGTTTGACATGTTACTATACACAAGAGAAATAAACAAGTCTTCGAAATGTAGCTGTCAGGTTTTTAAGAAGTGGCTCCAATATGAATGAACTTCCAATTTTATAGAAGAAAATTATCTACAATACAGAAAATGTTTACTAAGGTTACATCTTTCAAAATAAAGTAGTTCTGCCACAAATGAAGACAAATGGTTTAGTCAAGAGTATTAAATCTGTTTTCCAAGTACAAAATGTTGTATTTTACTCAACTAATTTCTTTGTGTCACATAGTTAAATAAAATTTTCATTCCTACAGAATCAATACAACACCAATTACAAAGAAACACCTAGACATTTTTGACACAAATTCCACTTCATAAATATTTAAATCAAACAAAATGCTGTTACAAACTCCAAAGATTACAGATTAAGCTAATTATAATTTCTTGCTACCAACAACCTCCCATTAGTTCTATATCAAAAGTTTAGAGAACAGAAATGGAGTGATAAGTTTGGTCTCCTCAGATTATCTAAATTGCACCATGAAATAATAACCAAGTAAATACTGTTTCTTATAGCTACTTTTCTATAATTTTTAAAAAATTTAACAGCAAAAAAAGTTTACACCAAAGGGACGCTAAAATGTTTACCAAAAACTATGCTTATAAAATCAAGACAATTCAGCTGTGAATAAATTCTCTACTCAGTTTTGAGGTATAGTCAAACACTCAATTTCACATGAAAAGTTGCAAACAAGTCAATGGTGATACTAAATATTAAAGAAGTCTTTGAGCAGTTAAATGATTTTCTGTCTACATTGTTAACGCCTATAATCCCAGCACTTTGGGAGGTTGAGGTGAGAGGACTGCCTGAGTCCACGGGTTCAAAAATAGCCTGGGCAACTTGGTGAGACCTCATCTTTACAATACATAAAAAAATTAGCTGGGTGTGGTGGCATATGCCTGTAGTTCCGAGTTATTTGGAAGGCTGAGGCGGTCAGGTGGAGGCTGCAGTGGCCGTGAGTGTGCCACTGCACTCCAGCCTGGGCAACAGAGTGAGACTCTAACTCAAAAAAAAAAAAAAAAAGTTTAAAGAATTTTGGTTTCAGTGGGCCAATGATACCACAAAACCTTGCTAGGATGACTGGCAAATGAGACAAACAACACTTCTTAAGAATGAAGCTAAATTAAAAGTACACAGATTTAGTTGATACAGCTACGCACCTTGGTTGGAATCATGGAAGAGGTCAAGATTTGAATGGGCTGTAGGAAATGAAATATCTTCTATGTCTTAGCAATAGCTCCTGCAAAATTATAAAGTATTCATGGTATGCATAAGAGATTCCTTTAATTCTGGAAAGATTCTGAAGGTTAGAAAAGCCTAGCTATATATAGTATAAATGTTAATGGAAAGATTTATCTGTAAGATGCTGGTGTCTTATAACACTCCTTTTCAGATTCTTTGGCTGTAGAACTGGCCCATTGTTTTTTAAATTATCTGCGTTCAAGAGTATGAGATCTTTGTAAATTGGTCTCTTGCCCCACCCGCACCAAGGATTTGTTCAGCTATCAGAACCACCTTTCTTGTGAACTGATCTACCAAAGGTCTGTCTTCTGTCATCAAACCACTTAAAGTACACAAGGCGTAGCTGCAATATTTTCCTGTGAAAAAGGCACTGAGCTAGGAGTCAGCAGATACAGGAATTCAAGCTGTGTGACTATTGACAAGTCAGTCTTTCTGGGCTTCAAATTTCCTTATCTCTCTAGGGCCCCTTCCAGATAAAAATTCTATTAATTCTAAGTCTCTAGGTTAGATGTAGGCTGAATGTAGACAGAAGCCTCTCGTTACTATCATGCCTTGACATGAGCAACTGACATCTCAAACGTGTGACAGGTAGAGCAGAAAGGCTGACTGCTGTTGGAATGGCTCCGCTTTTGCAATCTCATGGGGTATTTTTGGATGGGAGTGGGGTAGTACTGGCTATAAGCTACCAGAGTCAAAACCTGAGTGGCTATTAATAAAGCCAGTCACTCTTTCATCCCTAAGGAAGTTTAACACCAGGATTTTTCAATATGTTCTTGACCCTGTCTCCTGTCACACAACTCAGGCTTCCATTTCCCAGTCAACATTTTTTGGGGACATCCATTACTGCTAATAGCTCCTGAATACCAAAAAAATTCAAAGTATAGATGTCAATCCATCTTTTGACAATAAAATTAAGTTCATTTAGCCCTAAAATACACAGCATCTACAAAATATCTTTTGTCCATTTATTCCTTTTTGCTGTTCCTGCCCATATACAGAAACTTATTTACTTATTTTCTATTGGTCTATGTGTTTGATGCTTTGGGCTGATAGTTTAGCTAACAAACAAAGCCCACCTTTTTGGGAGAGGGTAGGTAAACAGATTCACAGGCTGGCTACCCTAGTCAAAGTCAAGTAGTCAAAACATGCCTCTCAAAGGTTTATTCTTCACTCTAATTCAAATAAGATGTTAATTCTTAATTAGTAAATGGACTTCTTTCAAAGTGTGTTGATACATCAGTTTGAGATGGTTTTGTCTAAATAATTCTCTATCCAGCTATATGCACATGGATGGGGTTCTGAAAAAGCTTAGCACAATTATTTCATAATCCGCATCTAATTTGCAAGATATAAAATTAGTCCCCATCAGGTTATAAAACCAACTGTCAAACTTGCAAAGGCTACCCAGCTTTTTGGCAGACTTTCTCCTGGCAGCTGGGTGTTATTAGAAAGGGTTACAGTTTAGCCCACTAAATGTGTTCTTCCATCAACCCTTCCACTGCTGATGTACTGCTTCTACCAGATTCATCTTGCCCCAAGCACAATTTAAGTGAAAACCTCAAACTACTAAAATCTTAGAAAATGCAGAGAACCCTTATGGAAATTGGAATAGGCAATTCATTCCTGATCAAAACTCCAGATGCCATGCCATAAGAGATAAGATAGACAAGTGGGACCTCATCTGGAGTAGTAAGGTATATTACTCAGATTTGGCTTCTTTAAAGGAAAAATCCAAGGAGCCATCATTTCACAATGAATTTTCTTCTTTAGAAACAAATTTTGGATAATTAAAGTTACAAGAAATGGCCTTGCCTGTTCATATCAGTTGAGCATCACATATGTATGATTTTTAATTGTCATATGATATTTAACTGTTCATGCCCCTCCATATAACTCTCCATCTGCCTTCACCAATAAAGATGTATGATACAAGAATCACAAAAGCTCAAACACATTCTATTTGTTGGATTAACTATCAGTGATGTTTCCAGATTACTTTTATCTTTTTGCCAATTAGTGTGTCATTATTCTTATAGATATACTGGAATTAAAGGTGAATCTGGATTTTTGATTGTATTACATTAAACATGTTTTCTTTAAAGCTTTTAAACAGAAAATCATCAGTATCCAAAGACGATGGGCTTAACTTTGTTTCCTGATTACTTAACTCCATAATACTCTAAATGCACTCCTATATATACTCCCATCCCATCCTCTTTCTTCGTTGATATTTTGCTAATTAAGTTGTAGAGAAGGAAAGAGGTGAAATTCCTTATTATAGAAAGACAGGAACTAGGAGACCAGCTCTGTCATTTAATGCCAAAACAGGAGGACTTGGAAGAGCATCTAGAAAGAACCCAGTTAGTTACATGCAATTTACACCTTTCTCTGATTTTAATTCTAAGAAATAATTCTGTATTGGGGTTAATACCATGGGTAAAATAATATCATTTTAAAAATGTGGGTACAAGTCTGCTATTTTAGCCAAAAAATTTTAATATCACTCACATTTTAAAATGTCACCTTTCAGCCGGGCTCGGTGGCTCAGCCTGTAATCCCGCGCCTTTGGGAGGCTGAGGTGAGTGGATTGCCTGAGCCCGCGGGTTCGAGACCCGCCTGGGCAACGAGACCTCATCTCTACAATAAATCAAAAAATCAGCCGGGCGTGGTAGCGCGTGCCTGTAATTCCAGCTACTTGGAAGGCTGAGGTGGAAGGATCGCTGGAGCCCTCCGGGAGCGGCCACTGCACTCCAGTCTGGGCGACTGAGTGAGACTCCAACTCAAAAAAAAACAACAACAAAAAAAGTCATCTTTCAGTCTTTTTCTCTTGCTGACTTATACTATGAGCTTATCATATTTCATACAATTTGACTTCAGAGAACACGTTGTACAAGTGCTCAAACAATGCCACTACTGAACTGCTGCTACATTAGGGCTCCTATATTTGCCTATACTGCAATCAGCTTAATGTTTTTAAATGTACAAGTATTTATATAACTAAAGCTTCAGGATGTAGATTTTCTTACTGATCCCAATGTTTCAAAGAACTAATGATATTCTATGATATAAATATTCCAAATTAGAAAGCAGCAGGGCTAAGCACAAGACATCCTTTTTCTGGAGATATGAGTGTGAGAATATCTGTCTTGCTAAATATGGATCACAAAACATTAGTTTTTCAATTTTCATTTATCAGTCATGATATGAAAACATTTATAGAAACACAAAAACCAAAAATTCCTTTAAATGACTACATTAAAAACAAAGGTGACCAAAACTACACAGAATAATCAATAAAATGAAAATTAACATTAAATAACAATATACATCAAAATGGACTGTTAGTATAACAGAGCTAACACATAGTCACACAGAAAGACAAAAGCATCAACAATGAAGATGCTATTTTGTTTCAATACCACCTTATTTTGGCTTACCAAGCCCTAAGCAGCTGGGTTTTTTTCCCTACCCTCCTTCTTCTCTCTCCCTCCCTCCCTCATGCTTCCATCCTTTTCACACTGGGATACCAGTGGAGGAGGCTCCTGGATGTAGCTAACCGCGCAGCGGCTCCTAAGGCAGCAGTAGCTGTACTTCGAGGAATGTAGAACTTCTGAGAAATCTGGCACTGAGGAGACAAAATCAAAGAGAGGTGGTCCATGGCTTCTTGACTCTTGTCTTTGAACACTGTAATGGCATGGTTACTAGAAAAATCTTCTTTCTTTAGGCTCACTGGAGAACTTTCCACTGAAAAAGAAAGAATACACAAAAGTCTTTTCAAGGGGTTCTCGTACTCAGTGGCTTCTCTCTCCCATTCTAGTTCTTCACTATGTGTTACAGTCATTTTCTGCTAGGTAGTGACAATTACCAGTGGCCAATCAGAAAGGATGAGACTCAGAAATCAGTTAACAAATGAAAAGGAAATGGGGACTCATGCATCGAAATAAAATGAATTCTCGTTAGGACGAGGGTAGGAAAGAGGGGAAAAATAAACTTATGAATAAGGAAGGGAAGACTTCTTTCTAGGAATATCATAAAAATAAATTGGGTATATCAGAAATCCCAGAGATGCACCCATATGCTTTTCTATTTCCTTCTAGCACTGAGCAAAATCGTATCTTTCAGGCATTCTCTGTTGCCAAAGTGGTTCCAATTCCATTGTCTGTGTCAGTGTAAAAATAAAACCATTCAAGACTGTGGTTGCTAAGAAGTCCCCCAAATAAGTTTTTAGCCATAAATGAATGCTTAAGGACTCAGTTTTAATTAAGAAGAAATGGAACCTTTTAGATGAAATAAAATGGCTGGAAGTCTAATGTTCCAGATTGCCCAGTAGCCAAGGAAAGGCACGCTAAGCATTCTGGAATATGTACTCTAGACCAGTGCTAGTTGAAGTAGCTGGTCTACTACCCATTTATTACCTGCCAACAATGAGAGAAGGAGCTTTTGCTGGCATGTAAGCCAACACACTGCTTCCTTTGAGAAAGTCTTGTTTAAAAAAAAATTCAGGTGAGCTAAACAGTGTGTTCAGCAATGAAGCTGACTTAAACTTCTGGTACAAGCTCCTTGTAGTGTTGTTCCCCCATTGCAAACACTTCACAGATTGGCACCAGTATGCTGACTACATTTTGCATAGCACTGCAGTAGAGCTTAAAAACATGGATTTCATGCAATCCAGAGAAAGGTAGGACTAATCCCGGACTTTATTTATCTTTGCATTTTAGCATCTAGCAGAGTAGCATGTGATATATGTTCTATACTTTTGGATGAGTTATGTTCAAGGAGGATGTTACAGGGTGTTCTAAAAAGTGAAATTCTAATTATAAAACAATAATGCCCACTAGAGAGGAAAAGAGAGGATGATTTGTAATTTAAACATGTGATTGCACAGGAAGTCTAAGGTGAACTCAGATCTTAAAAGATATATGAAAGCAGAAACACATGACGAAAGAATTTTAAAGAGTAGCAAAACTTCTTTTAGCCATGATGTTATTCAACAGGAATATTTACTCTTCTGCCTTACAAAACAAGAAAACTGGACAAAATATATGAAACAACAGCTTTCAGACACTGAGTAATCACTGCAAGACAGCAACCTATGAGAGAAGAGAAAAAAACTCTAAGTGCCTTAGCTCACTGCCTGGAAAGAATTTTCAGGTGTCAGTATGAGGAGAAGGATCCAAACTGAGCCAAGAGGGCTGAGTTAGAGAAAACAGAGTTGAGAATTCATGGAGGCCAAATGTCTTAGAATTTGTGGACATAAAGTACCAGAGAAGAGGCAGCTGCAGAGAGAGAGGAAGCTGAGGATTTAGAGAGAGGACCCCTTAAAAAGTGATAAACACTTAAAGAGGTACTTAACTCAAGAAGGTATACGTATGGTAAATAAGTACATGAAAAAGACAGTGAACATAGAGGTAAATAGAAAACGCAAATTAAAACTACAATATATTCCACTACAATATATTCCACTATATTCACTAGACTGGCAAAATTTAAAAAGACTGACAATGCCATCTGTTGACAAGGATGTGGAGCAATCAGAACTTTCATACTTTGCTGGTGGGAACACAGAATAGTACAGCCACTTTGGAAAACATCTTGGCAGTTTCTTAAAAGGTAAACATAGGCCAGATGTGGTGGCTCAAGCCTGTAATCCCAGCACTTTGGGAGGCCAAGGTGAGGGGATTGCCTGAGCCCATGGGTTTGAGAACAGCCTGGGCAACTTGGTGAAACCTCATTTCTACAATAAATCAAAAAATTATCTAGGTGTGGTAGCAAGCGGCTGTAGTTCCGGCTACTTGGAAGGCTGAGGCAGAAAGATCGCCTGAGCCCAGCAGGTTGAGGCTGGGGGGGCAGGGAG